AGATTGCAGATGAGTGAAGAAGTGTGTTGTTTCCTATTTTTAAAAATAAAGGTGATGCACTAGGATCTATGAATTATAGAGGAATTAAGTTAATGTGTTTTATATTAAAATTATGGGTGAGAATAATTGAGCATAGGTTACGACTTATTACTAATGTTTCTCAAAATCAGTTTAGGTTCATGCTGAGTAGGTCTACTATGGAAGCTATACATTTGTTGAGAGTTTTGATGGAGAAATATAGAGTAGAGATGATCTATATATGTATTTATTGATTGAGAGAAAATATATGATAACATTCTAAAAAAATTGCTCTTGGGAGTCATAGAAAAGAAATGAGTTAAAAATGTTTATATTCAAATCATTAAGGATATGTATACAATAGCTGTTATTTATGTTCAAGCACAAGGTGGTTTCACCTAGTATATTTCTATTCAATTGGATTACATCTAGGATTAGTTGTATGCCCATATCTTTTTTGCTTTAGTCATGGATGTTCTTACTAGACATTTGCAAGATGGTGTACCTTGGTATATGCTCTTTGTTGATGATATTATTCTTATTGATAAGACTAAAGAGGTAGTTGGAAGAAAACATAAATTATGGAAGTCAATCTTAATCTAAAGATTTTATTTAACTAAATCTAAAACCCAATACATGGAGTGCAATTTATATTACTAATAGATATAGTAGTGGGATTGTAACATTGGGTTATTAAGTCATTAAAAATAGTGCACGTTTTAGATATATCGGGTCTATCGTTAAAAGCGACAGTCAAATAGGTGAGGATATTATTAGTATAATTCAAGTTGGATGGTTGACGTGGAGGAATGCATTGGGCTTGTTGTGTGATAGAAAAGTACATTTCAAACTAAAGGGAAAATTTTATTAGATGGCGGTGAGACCTGCAATGCTTTATAGCTCCAAATACTGCCATTAAAATAGAAGCATAAAATTAAGTTAAGTTCTAAAAAGATAGGATGCTTAGGTGGATGAGTGACTTTACACTTAGAGACATAATGCAAGAAGAGCATATACGTGAAAAGGTTAGAGTGGCTCCATTGACATATATGATTAGAGAGAATCATTTTAGATGGTTTGGTCACATAAAATGTCAGTCGTTAGATGACACAGTTAGGAGAGTAGATGTGTTTGATTTGGTATATGTTAAGAAAGATAGAGGTAGAACTAAAATGATTTGGTTAAAAAGTATTAGGAATTACCTTTTTTATTATATTTAAATGTGAATTTAACTCTTAATATAACACACTAGAGAAAAAAAGATTTATGTAGCTGACCCTGCTTAGCGGGATAAAGGCTTCATGTTGTTGCTGTGCTGAAGTGCTATTGAGAAAGTTTATGTTTATTTTGTCTCATTTTTTCCATCATTCAACTTCGCTGGTTTTACGTACCTGTTTTCCAAATGAACTTCCTCCTTTGAAAATTGCTTTTTAAATGACAATACAATTTCAAATATCAATGTTTCGTTTACCTCAATTCCAAAAGATAGCTACATTATTGATGGTCTAGTTTGGGTGGAAGTTCGATCTACAAATGGGTAAAGAAGCAAAAATATTTTATTGTGCAGTTGGTTAAATATTTGCGCAATTGTTGTTTTAGATATATGTATAAGTTAGCCAAGCAAAGATATATGAGTAGTAAGAATTTAGTTCAAGTGAAGTGTATTCAGGATGAAAATAAAAAGAAAATACTTTTATTAGAAGTGGATATTCAACAATGGTGAATGAGATATTTTGCCAAGTTTTTCAATGAAGATTCTGAGAATACAATTGACTTTAATGACCTTAGCACCCTAAACGAAAATAGAGATTTTTACTTTTATCGTTGCATTAGTAAAATCGAAGTTAGAGAGGCTTTAAAGAAAATGAAGTGTGGAAAAACTTTTAGAACTGATGATATTTCAATAGAGGCTTGGAAATGTTTAGGAGATGAAGGAATTTCTTAGCTTACAAAACTTTTTAATATTATTTTGAAGACTAAAAAGATGTCAGATGAGTGGAGAATGAATGTGTTGATTCCTATTTTTAAGAATAAAGGTGATGCAAAAGATTGTGCAAATTATAGAGGAATTAAGTTAATTTGTCATACTTTAAAACTATGGTAGAGAATTATGGAGTCTAGGTTGCGGCATAACACTAATGTTTCTCAAAATTAATTTGGATTCATGCTGGGTAGGTCTACTATGGAAGCTATACATTTATAGAGAGATTTGATGGAGAAGTATAGAGAGAATAAGGAGGATCTACATATGATATTTATTGATTTAGAGAAATCATATGAAAGTTTCAAGAGAAGTGCTATGGAGTGTTCTAGAAAAGGAAGGGGTTAATAATGCTTATGTTCAGTCATTAAGGATATGCATGCAAGAGTTGTTACTTATGCATGCTAGAGGTTGTACCTTGGTATATGCTTTTTACTGGTGATATTCTTCTTGTTGATGAGACCATATAGGGAGTTGATGGTAAACTTGAATTATAGCCGTCAACCTTAGAGTCTAAAGATTTTTGTTTGAGTAGATCTAAAACCGAATATATGGAGTGTAATTTTAGTAGTAATAGATGTATTGGGGTGATTGTGACTTTGGGCAATCAAGCCATTAATAAGAGTATACATTTTAGATATTTTGGGTTTGTTGTTCAGAGTGATGGTGAAATAGATTGGGATATTATTAGTAGAATTCATATTGGATGTTTGAAGTGGAGGAATCATTGGGCTTGTTGTGTGATAGAAAAGAGGTAAAATTCTATAAGATAATGTTGAGACCTGCAATGCTTTATAATGCAAAATGTTGGCCATTAAAAGAGAAGCATAATATAAAGTTAAGTGTTGTAGAGATGAGGATGTTAACGTGGATGAGTGGCTTTAATCTTAGAGACAAGATATGAAAAGATTAGAGTAGCTCCACTGGAAGATAAGATTAGAGAGAGTCACCTTAGATGGTTTGGCTACGTAAAATGGTTGCCTTCCGATAACCTGGTTAGGAGAGTATATGTATTAGATTTGATTCATGTTAAGAACGGTAGACCTGTAAAGTTGTTAGAAAATATTTGAAATGACCGTTCTTTATTAGATTTAAATGAAAAATTGACTCTTAATAGGGCACAATGGAGAAAAAAGATTCATGTAGCTGACCCCACGTAGTTGGATAAAGCTTGGTGATGTTGTTGTTGTTGTCGGTTTAGATACTCATTTTTTTCCTGAAGGGATGCTGGTTGTCACCGGAACTATTATTAATAAGATTTTAACCCTCTTACGATGTCCAACTTCGTCTACAATTTTTCTAGCTTACTATGATGAAATGATGTGACATATGAATTGAGATTGTGGCTGGAAACAATTTTTGGAATTATTTTATTCCCGGAATAGATGAGAATTTGATTCTTTACACGACACAATGGATAAAAGGATTCATATAGCCAACCCCACGTAGTGAGATGAAGACTTGATGTTGTTGTTATTTGGTCAGCTGAATGGTTGAGTAAAAAGATTGTTGGTAAATTTGGAGACTTGTTAGTAGAAAGGTTGGTGCAAAGTTATATTTTAAGGGATTTTTCATATCTGGATTTCCTAGTTATAGTAAGTTTGGTCAAATGTGATCACGAAAGGATTTTTTCTTGGATCTAGCAAACCTTTACTTTGCACCTGACCAAGGAATCTAAATTGCAGGACTTTGAATTCCATATCAAAAGATAATACACATTTCTTCTATTTAAATGCAGCCAAGATGCTACTGTGCTCCTTAGTATTAACTTCAACAAGTAAACGTATCGTATTTGTGGCTTTTTGTTAAAATTTCATGGATCATCTACGACAGATTTTTGCTATTGTTATTTATCGAACTTTTGTTCCAAATATATGATATTAAATTTTCTCAGCCAACTCTAATGTAATACAACTCAACTAATTTAACCCAAATAAACTGAGTTTTCCATAGGCCAACCAAAATAACTCAAACTTGACTACAAAATGGTTGAATAAGACCAATTTTCAAGCTTTCTTTTAGGCCCATATTTAATTATGATGAATGCCATCATATTTTTAGATTTACCGTCAGGTCGAATCATCCTTATGGATGGTATTAGATTTGAATTTTAATGTTTGGTAGTATAGATTTAATTTTGTTAGGATTTGAAATGAGAAAAGACCAAAATGGTTCTTTGACTCTCTAAGAAAATTAAAATAGCCCCCAACTATATTAAATGATCATTTTGGTCATTCAATTGCTTAAAGAGGAATTAAAATTGTTCCACCATGAGATTATTTTGATTTATTTTAAAGAGTTGAGGGATCAAAATTGTCCTTTAATATAGTTGGGGATCATTTTGATCCTTCATAAAGAGTCAATGTACCATTTTTGTCTTTTTTTTTATTTGAAATTAGATTTGATTGACAAATCTTTGCAACTATATTTTTAAAAATAAATATTGATAACTTGTATTCAAATCATTGATTGAATTTTAATATTGTATGAATGAAATAATTCAAAAGGTCAATTAGTACTTTCTCTAAATTTAAATTGTGTATGTGAATCACTCCGAATTGTGGACCAGAAATTTCTCTTTAATTCTCTCCTTTTTAATTATCTTGCCTCCAATTTACACTTAAATTATGGACAAATGATTTTATTTTTATTTGATTGAATCATCTTTTTGGATGATATTACTCTTAAATTTGAATGTTTGGTTGTATTAGATTTAATTTCAGATTGATATTCAAATCTTTGACCTTATATTTGCAATTCTATTTTTAAAAATAAGAATTAATAGATTATATTCAAATCATTGATTGATTGATTAAACCATGATATCAGATGACTGAAATAATTTATTTGGCCAACTGAGCGTTCTTGCTAGGTCCAAGTTGTGGACTTGAAGTTTCTCTTTTATTCTATCCTGTTTCATGCTACTTGTACATAAACGCCCTTAATTTCTATCTACTGTTGGTTGTCTGAAAATTAAAATCACCATATCATTGTGTTGCAGTTCTGAGTTTGCGCTGAGGTCATATCTATACCTTCTTTTTCATATGCTAGTCGCTGGACCAACATCCTGGTTTTACAAGGATGAAAAGGTTTGCTATTTTTTGCATATTGTTGAACTTGAGTTATTTTCTTTATTAATGATCATTAAGGATTTTTTTTTCCTGGTACTTTCTTGCTCTCATCTTTCCTGCTGCTGAAATCTCAGATTCAGGTTTTCTACAAAGTGAGACTCTTTCTTGGCCTTATCTCAACAATTACCGAGACTGTTCTGATAGTTGCCCTTTCAAGGAAGTATGGCAAAAGACTTGCAACATATACGCTTGCTATGTTATGCCTAACGAGTGGTTGTTTCTTTTCAAGCACAAGTAAATTTCTTTTCTTGACTTACTATCGTTTTATTCTTCATTCTAAGTTGACAAATCCTCTGTATTCTTCACTGCAGGTTCATTAGTTTCTTTTTATTTGTCGAAGTAGAAGAGTTTATGTGCGCAGTTATACATCGTTCTGTATTTTCTTGATTTTTCTGGTCTCTGATGGTTGTACGCATATGTATCTTCAGGTTTCCTACCAAGTACATTCTCTATGTATGCTGTTACACTTTCTTCTGCTCTGTTCCTTCTTGAGAAATATGCTTCTGCGGTTTCTGTATCTGCAGCTGGAGTTCTCATTGGCTGGCCTTTCTCAATTTTGATTTTTCTTCCCGTTACTATATATTCATTAATCAAAGGGAGTTTCAAAAAAGTTTTTCTATCAGGCTTAATAACCTCTGTTTCTGTTATTGTAAGTCATGCCACCAAGCTTTTAAATGTTCAATCCACAGTATTGGTTATTTTGTCCTTTTTTTGTCGCATAAGATAATTATATTTTCAAATGTGTAATAATGTCTTATGATTTTCCGTAACAATGTTTTCCTCTTTTAGGTTCTATCAGTATATGTTGACTATTATTACTATGGAAAGTGGACATCATCAATCTTCAATCTGTTAAAGTATAATGTACTTGGCGGTGGGGAGAGTCATTTATATGGAGTGGAAAGTGCTACATACTATTTGAGAAACGGTTTCAACAATTTCAACTTTTCCTTCATTCTTGCTCTTCTTTTTGTGGCACTTCTGCCTATTACATTGAAAAAGTATACCCCAGATCTGCTAGTTGTGGTCTCACCTATATATATTTGGTTGGCATTTATGTCTTTGCAGCCGCACAAAGAAGAACGGTACTTTTCTCCTTCTATTAGTGGTCTAAATATCTTGCTTTTTAATTTAGAGAAGTCCCATTTATTTTTATAAGATTGATAAATATTTGTGTACATTATTTAGATCACATGTCAAAATACTGAGTAGTGTTCATTGGCTAGGTTATTTTTTGGAGAAAGTTTATACTGTTAGCGGACAACAATATATCGTAATATACATTTAAATGATCCTACAGCTTAACTTAAATATTAAATATAAAATACTAATAAAAATATTGTACATTTCTACTCATTTCTGTTCAAAATATCTATACTACAACTATATTATACTATTCTATACTAAAACTATAATGTATTATGACTAGACTACACTGCAATTATATTATATTATACTATACTACAACTACACTTTACTATAACTATACTATACTATACAATACTATCAACTATATTAAACTATAATATAATTATACTATACTACAATTATACTATACTATATTATAACTATACTATACTAAAATTATACTATAATTTACTATACTACAATTATACTTATCTACAAATCCAATCTGCCTTCTGAAAATTCCCCCGGGATCACACATCCCAAAATTGGAATTTTTCGGAGCCCACAGTAACTATACTCTAATATACCACAACTATATTATACTATGCTATAACTATAACTATACTATACTATAACTATACAATAAAACAACTATACTATATTATACTATACAATAACTATAAGATATAATAAATATACTTTACTATACCTATACCATACTATAACTATATTATACCCTAACTGTATTATACTATACTACAATTATACTATGCTATAACTATATTGTAACTGTACTCTACTATACCGCAACTATATTACATTATACTATACCATACTTCAACTATACTATACCACACTATAACTATACTATACTATATTATAACCATACGATACTACAACTATACTATAATATAACTATACTATACTGCCGCTATACTATACTTTATTATACTAAAACTATACCATACTATAACTATACTATATTATGCAATACTATAACTATACTATACTACACTACATAACAACTATACTATTTAATACTAAACATAACTAGATTATATTATACTATACTAAAACTATACTATACTATTCCATATTGTAACTATAATATACTATATTATATTATACAATAACTATACTATACTAGAATTATATTATACTATATTATACTACAACTATACCACACTATAGCAATTCTACCGAAGTTTATAACGTCAAGATTTCTGCATTTAGCAGGTTTATGTTTAATTTTTTTAATAAGGTTTTAGTTGATCAAATGTTGCTCTGAAGATGGGCTGCTAGACGTAATGAATTTATGTGGCTTAACATATATCGATTTAGCAAAAACAATCTTCTCTTACTCGTCTGGTGGAAACAATCTTCTTTTTACAACTTGTTGCTCTAATCAATTGGCAAAAATGAAAATTTACAGGAAAACTAATGTTATTCCGCATCATATTTTTCATGCTGTAAAAATCCTTGTGTATTTAAGTTTTTCTGTAGTATATAGCCCCTAAGCCTACTACCATTTATAGATCCGATCCATTGCCAACAATAGTTTTTGAAATTCGGGTGAACAAAAGTGGTAAATTTTTCCTGACCTTCAGTATTTTATCTCGCAGGTTCCTTTACCCAATATATACACTTATATGTGTTGCAGCTACAGCTGTAATTGATATTTTTCCTGATATTTTCCGTGATAGGTTTTCAACTGAAGAGTCCTTCATGGTCAAGGTGATCATAATCCCTCCTAATTAGTTACTCATTTTTGTTCTTGGTAATCTTATAGATCATAGTTCACAACTCTGAATCCGGACTTGACTGCTTAAAACAGGTTGCTAAGGTTCTTAGACCAGTTTTTCTTGGCCTTATTTTGTGCGCATCTCATAGTCGCACATTCTCGTTGTTGCATGGATATTCTGGCCCTTTGGTGATCTACAAGCATTTAGAACATCATGAAGATGCCAGTCCAGGTGAGTCCTTGTAGATTGCATGCTATATAAGCGGTATCAACCCTATTTCCTGCACTGTGAAGATTATTATGATTTTATTTTTTCTTATTATTTATTTATTTATTTATTTTTATTTTATTATTTTTATGATTTGTCTGCCATTAACAAAAAGACTTTGTTTGGTTTGGAGGAATTAAGCCGCCAGTAAATATTATGTCTCATAATTATATTTTGATTGTTTGGTTGTGGTGTAATTTATTAGAAATTGCTTTGGCATGGCTATCTTTCAGATTACTGGAGGAATTAAGCAACACTATTTCAATTCCTTAAACCAAACAGAGCTTAAGTAACCTGGTAAAAATTTTGAATTTATAATGGCTGTATTTCAGATCACTGGGTAGAAGCTTTCATTCTTTCAATAACATTTAGCCATTTTCATCATGCACCAGAACTGTCGAACTTCAGTCATGTTGCTTGTTGCACTGTTGCATCTCATTACATATTGATTTAGGTTCTATACTATGTGTGGGAAGTGAGTGGCATCGCTACCCTTCTTCCTTTTTCATTCCATCATATGTGAAGGAAGTCCGATGGATTGATGATGGCTTCCGAGGTCTTCTTCCATTCCCCTTCAATTCTACCTTAGGTGGCACAGCTGCTGCTCCATCTTATTTCAACAATAAGAACAAAGCTTCTGACATGCAATACGTAAAAACATTAAACTTTCTGCAGTTTGCATTTAGCATTAGATTTTATTCTCTTTCATGAAATGCATGTTGCTTTTATTTCACAGCTCCATGATATAGATGCATGCACCTTATTTGTGGAACTTGATCTCAGAAGACCTCACCCTTCTCGGGGAAGAGACTTGTCAAAATGGGAGGTAAGTTTGTTCTAAGATATTTTCATGTTCTTAGTGGCATTGAGTCAAATTTGAGTGTTTTAGGCTTAACTCAAACTGAAGCTTTTCAAATTTAATTTGGCTTGAAACTGAATAGCTTCTTTTAGTCAGGCTGACTCAACGCAAAACTAATGTGTCAAGCCCACTCAATGAGTTGGAATTGGACAGGACACGCTAGCAAATATCAATATATAATTCTATTTAATTTTATAGAGAATAGTATTATATTTGTTATATATATATACAAAATAAAGATTTGGGCAGCCTTACTACTCTGGAAATGTTTTTGATCTAGAATCAGGCTTGAGACTTGACTCAAAATCATTGGAGTTGATTGCATCTAAACTCAATTAATTGACATATATTTCTGTCTCCACATAACTTATGACATTGCATTTTCTTGGTGGACGAGTAGACTCAGGGGCGGAACCAACCTTAATTTTCAGGGGGACAAACTTATAAGTAACTGTCGAGGGTCCAAAGGGGCAGCGCCCCTTGATAGGATATTTTTGGAATTTAAATTAATAAATAAAATGATTATTTCTCTTTACTACTTGTTGAGGGCAATTGCCTAAAGATCATAGTATTTTAAAACTTTTAGGGGGGCAATTGCTTAAATACTCTTTTAATAAAGACTAAAAAATAGATGGAGGAGCACAAATTACCTAAAGAATCATATAATAAAGAAAAAAAAAATTTTATTAGGGGGGGGATGGGTTGGCCTGAGCTCAAAGGGGATCCTCCCCTGAGTAGAATCAAATTTTGTAATTTTATTCTAACCAGACTCAAGTCTCAATTGAGTCGCATTAGGCTTGAAAGCTTTTCTAGAGAGAATCGGGCTTAAAACATGACGAGAAATGTTTTTAATCAATTGCTTCTTGCTTTAAAACTCAAGCTAGTTTTGATTTTCACCTAACCTTCTTGTTCAAACTATTGTAAATTTTGAGCCAACTGCTGATGCTTGAACTTTCAGACCTTGGCAGCTGTACATTATCTTGATCGGGAGCTTTCACCTGCCATCTATCGATCATTCTTCATCCCCTACAGCTGGCATTACAAGAATGTCTTTGGATTATACAAGTTATTGAGGAAGATACCTCAGAACAATGTGGATCAAGACTAGTTTTACTACAAGTAAGCTACTTTCTGCTAAAGAATTCCCTGAAGATGGAATCTGAAATGGGTATTGTTGATCATCTTGACGCCAACTTTACTTTTCTTGTAGTTTTAGACCTCATAGGTTTAGCCTGCCAGCCATTGATCTCCTTCTAATATTTTCTAATTTTATGTCACCCACAACTTGAATGGTGTAGCGGAGTGGTATGTGCCGAGTTCAAGAGTAGGAATTACAATTGCTTTTGGGAGAGCTGGATACTTTGAAATATGTTTTTTTTTTTTTTTTTTTTACTTTTGTGTGCATGTCTTTTAACAAGGAAAAGGAAGAATGGGCCTAGCCAAAACCTGTAATCAAGTTCTGCATAGATAATTTTTTAATAAAGTTTAAAAACTGTTTATAATATCTCTATTCATTTTTTTACTTTATTTATGGAAATTTCTGTCCAGTGTTTCGTTTTATATGATTTTTAAACATATCAACTCATTCATTCTTCATCTGTCAAATTTGTGTAGGCTTCATTTGGGTTGGTTTTTTTACTGTTTCATAAAGCAGTTTTTTAATACAAAATTTAAAATTTTTATGCTTAAAAAGTGCTTTAAGAAGCAGTAAGAAAACTATTCCAAATGAAGTCTTAATCTAAAAGCATTTTTTTCCATTAGATCTTGTAAAGTATAACTGTTAAGCCCATCTAATTTTTTTTAAAAAAAAAACTTTCATTTTTATATGATGTTTTGAAAGTTGCCTGACCAATGTCATTGCTTGAAGTTGGTTCATATAATCATATGCATAGCATCGTTAGAGTTTGCTTTCTGTCAATTGGTGCTTTTGGTGATTTGTGTTTAGTTAATTCTATGAACGGCTTATTTGGTTGCTTACGGATCGCAAATATGTTCAATGAATAAAAAAATAGTGTTGTAAAATTTTCTAAAAGTCAGAGAATTATAGGTAACAAAGCCGCCCAATCATTCTTTCTATTCTTGAGTTCCCACTTTACACAGTATGTGAATATATAGAAAAACTTTTGCGGCTGCTGCTTTCACTCAAGTTCTTTTATTCCAAGTTCTAACATGCGAGAAATAAAGAATCCTTGCGCCTTAAGACCAATCAAATACTAGGCGTGAACTGTACGTCTCAAATTAGGGTGGAGTATGTGTTTAATGCTTATTTGTTGTAAATTATAGTAAATTATGTATGTAGCTCGAAGCTTAAACTCCAATAAGAATAGCCATTGTTATTATTAAATTAGGAAATGAATTTCCTTGAGGATTTGATACAGGGTTTTGAGCTTAATACTTGTATAGATTGTGAAATCTCGCAAGTAAAATAAGTTAAATTCTTAAACATTAAGGTGCTTTTTGGTGTAATTGTTGGAATTTCATCAAGAAATTTCGCAGTTAAGCATGCTCATCTCGGAGCAATTTGAGGATGGGTGACCTACTGGGATGTTACATCAACATGATAAAACCATGAGGTTCTTAGGTCAAAACGGGCAATATATAGATAATTAAGAGATTGAATTGTTATAAATGATATCAAAGTAGTACACTAGCTGAAAGACGGGAATTAAGTGTTATACAAGATAAAATGTTATATCATGGAAGCTATTTCTTGAACCATGTATGAGACAAAGTGCTACGTGATGCGAGTTACCACTTGAACTTGTAGGGGTCACCTCTAAAATCCTATCTGCTTGGTGGATGATTCTGGGATAATGATACTAACAAGGACATCAGTTCCTTTAGCGGTGGAGATTATTAAACCCTTAAGTAAAAGAAGTTAAACTCTTAAATATTGAGGTGCCTTTTAATGTAATGGTTGAATTTCATTAAGAAACTTCGTAGTTAAGCATGCTCATTTCGGAGCAAGTCTGGGATGGGTGACCTGTTGATAAGTTACACTAACAGGATAAAATCATGAGGCTCGTAGCCCAAAGTGGACAATATATTAATAGTTAAGAGTTTGAGATGTTACAAATATATATATATATATTAATTTGATTATGATAAGCTTAGAATGGTTGTAATGAATTGGAAGTTCATGTTGGTTTTTATTTATGACTTGTAGGGTTTTAAATATTTGGGTAAAGATTCGTTGGTAATATTGGTGTAACAATTATGGCTGTGATATGTCTTTGATAGCTTAGTGGTTAGTTATTTTTTCTAGGCATTTTAACTTTTATCCAATGGGATCATATAATAAAAAATACTTTACCTAATAGGATATCTTTTTCTTAACAATTGTGATATTGTTCTTAGAAATGTTTTATTTTATTTTTTAGTCTTAAATTATTGCGTTGAGTGAAGTTTAGAAAGACTCGTATATACTCGTCTAATTTTTCCGAAATTTCTTGCACAACAACAATCAAAAGAAGGATTTTCATAATAATATATGCATTCTTAACAAAAATTTCCAACAACATTAAGCTTGTACAACTTAATTTGACTCTACAAGTCTTTTCTAATGTCATGTAAATATAATTAATGTGAAAACATTATTCAAGATAATTAGAGACAAAGTTAAGTGATCATTAGCTCATGCATTTTAAGTTAATATTGCTCCTTGTTATCTTAATATGCTAACTCAAGAATATTTATGATTCATGATATTATATGTATTAATCTTAATTATACATCATAACTCTTTTCATGAGTAGTACTTAAAAATATTCTATGATTTTTAACATATCTTATGCAAGTTTTCCTATGTTGATCTCCTTATGTTCTTCCTATTTAACATTAAATTTCAATTATCTACAAGTTATTTTTTTCAAATTTATATATATTTTCTATTAGAGATAATATTCAACATAAGATTACTAATCTCTTTTTTTTATTATATTATTTATAAAAAAAAATTAAGATTCCTAATCTCTTTGCACAACCTATCTATCTCTTAATGATAGATTTAATGCCGACATAGTTTATTTATTTAGCACAATGAATTTAATTGATTGGTGTGTTTAATAAATAAATATTTATCCTCCATGATATTTCACCCACAAGGAGCCTATTCTCCATATCTTATTTTTTAATGGTCCTTCTAAACTTTGAATATGTGGCAAATCAATTACAAGTAAAATAGGATAAAATATGCATCAACAATAGGACCCAACTAAACAAATGATTGCATAAAATGATAAACCTTCAAGACTACATTTGATTATAACTTCGTTTGGGACGTCTTTTATTACTTTTTAAGATAGAGTTTCAGTACAAAAATTTTTGCACTAAAATTTCATTTTAAGAAGCAATAAAAAAGCCATCCCAAATGAAGCATACATCTAATCCCTAGAAAGGAGTCTAGTAAAGAAAACAAAACACAAAATATGTAATCTAAAATATAAATATCATAGGGAGAGAGAGAGAGAGAGAAACTCACCTTGGTGACCTCCTCTACATTGCTTTGCCTTCTTCTCATTTCCTTACCCTGGCCGTCGTTAATAATCTCCCCCAAAAAACCTTGGTAGAAAGGTCCTCTTAAAAGCTATAAATCTTCCTTACAAAGATTCCCCACAAAATTTCATTACATGGACAATTGAATTTTAATATTTGAGTCTAGCAATCTTAAATATAAATATATTGATTATATTTATGAAAAGTTTCATGAATGATGAACAAAGTACTAAAATTAAATTTGTTCTGTATATTTTATAAAAATATTCTTAATAATCAGAAATTTATGTAGCTTACTTTCTATTTATTTATTTATTATTTATTATTATTTTTTTATTATTTTACTACTTTATAATTCAGTGAACATGACTTTAATTTTTCTTCTCATTATGATTTTGATCACTTACGTGCATTGAAGATTTTATGTTATCCTATGTTCTATTATAGTAATTAAATTTGCTAATTAGGTCTAATTATATTTTCAGTATCTTAATTAATAAAATTGAGCTTTGATAACTCACAAAAAATCATATTAATTAGGCACAAATCTCAATGTATAAATTAAAAACTTCGAGGACCTTTTGAACTCTAATTTCAGTGAACTTATAGTTAAACTGAATGTCTCAACAAGACAAACTTAACAATACCATAAATGGTCCAATTTGAGCAAGAATAAGACCAAATTAGGGGCCTGAAGCATGATGAGATACTTTAAGACATTAATTGGATATTCAAATTCAAATTTGGTATGCTTATAATCAAATCAAACAGCTTAACGAGACAAATCCAACAAGCCAAAGATTAACTAATTCCAACATCTTTGAGACGCTTAATTATTGAACAAGCGCTTTATGTTCAAGGGAATTAACACAAGCCATCATATGAAGTGTTCAATATTTATAGGGCATGCTACACTCAAAAAATTATAAATATGCCCTTACTCTCTATATGACGAACTTGGAGCAAGAGTTTAAATTTTGGCTTGAGATTCAAGAGAACTCCAAGGTTTCCCATTATGGTACTCCAACTATTGTCTACCAACTACAATATTTCAACTTTCATCACCTATCGACTATTGCCCTCAAACCACCGTCACCTAGTTATGATCATTGGACTATCATTGCTTAATTACATTCCCTGGACCATGACCACCAGATTATGGTCCCTAGACCACCATTAGCTGATTTGAGTCTTTCAACCTCAATCATCGTCAACTACAATCCCCAAGCCAATGTCGGCCAACTACAATCTACTAGCTATGGTCATTTGACTATGGTCCTCTAACCACCATCACCTGACTATGGTCCATTAACCATTATTACTTGATTATGATCTTTAGACCACAATCACGATCCTTCAAGATCCATTATCTAACTATAGTCCCTTAACGACCTTCGCCTGAAAACAATAATCAAATCATTAATTATGATCCTGTAGACAACCATTGTCTATCTACAACCCTTTCAAACTTCATCAGCCACTTATTATAGTCCTTCAACCATCCTCTCTCATCTTCTATGATCCTCTGATCATCATGACCTGAACACAATCCTCACATCACTATCACCTAATATGGTTCCAAAACCACCATAACCCTACTAGAGTCATTAGACCATGTCGTGCGACTACGATACTCCAATCACCATTACCTAATTATAGTCCTCGAACCACCATCAGTTGACTATAGTTTTTGAATCTACGTCATCCCTAATGACGATCTTCCAATGACTATCGCTTAATGGTATGGACCATTGTTACCCTACTATAGACCTCAAACCACCAT